TAATCAGTTCTTGACAGTAGATATTGTCACTAAATCACCTAGATGTAAATCTAATATTTGGTCCCCAAAAAACCAACTTTGATCTACACAAAATATAGTGTGTAGACTTCTGATAAAAAAAATCAGAAGTCATTAAGAATTAGTGACGATGTCAAATGCATAATACACAGGTGAAAAAGGGATTGTCAAATGAACTATTTTTTTTATACAACTTAGAATACACACGGCCCACCTGATGGAAAGTGGTGAAAAAGTACCATGGACATTGTTTGCCCATGTACCCCCATGCGTTGCCATTCCTGAGGACTAGGTGTTTTTTTTTTATACAACTTCAAACCGAAACACAGACATGGTTGAAACACGAATGAAACAAACTAGTAACCATTTTGTTAACAATATCAAGTCGACCTCCACGTGGTTCCTGCTAGAAACCATAGTGGTTAATACTTTATTATTAGTCACGATGAGCCATCTGACCTAACACATGCCAATAGCGCAGGTGGGGTTACCATTCCATTATCATCTTTAAAAAAAATATATACATAGGCACATAATTACGGAAACAGTAGAACTAGGAACATCTTTTTTTAAGTCAGATGGAAAGGAGAACACAGCCAAAATCGCTGCATCTGCTCGTAGATTATTTAATATAGTTTCGACTCGTTGTAGGACATTAAAATTCTTAAGCACGTCTTATTTAAAATTAATTTGTTCGATTCAAATGCGCTTCTTTCTAATTCTGAGTTCATCTGTTCTAAAAATACAATGAAATCTCCTCACATCGTTCAAACGAAGGGACGGGGAATAACCGGGAATATATCAATCTGTAAATAAGCAACAATACCTATATTAAACATCAGGGAATTCCTGTTTACGATACTGAGTACATTGTTTACACTTAACATTCATTTGTGCATGATTATAATATCTCAAATTAATATAATTATCTTCTATGCCAGGGGTCGGCAACCTGCTGCTCGCGAGCCACATGCAGCTCTTTGGATGTGAAGCTGCGACTCTTTAATTCCATACGCCAATATTATTTATATTATAAAAAAAAAATAGAAATCGTTCTGAATCAATTAACGAGGATTAGGCGCCAAACTTTATTTATGCAAGTACTATTTATTGTTGGCACTTCAAAAGGTTGGCAACCCCTATTACTCTGTTTTTTTTAATGGGTCACAATAGAATGGTAATCCCAACCGCGCCATCGGTATACACCGGCGGGGCACCAGTGAAGGATGATAGGTGAGGATGAAGTAGGTCAGTTAACCCATCGTGACGAACTCAACAAGAATTGTTCACGATGGTTTCCAGGGAGAACCACGTGGAGGTCGACCTAATAAGGCATATTGCTAGCCCCCCCCCCCCCTGTTACCCTGTAATGTACATGGTACTGCTCATGTCCACTGTTACCATGGCGGCCCATCTGATGCGCATCAGGTGGGCAGTCAGCTTGTTTGCCATTTCAAATTGTATATTTTTTTTTTTGTTTTTAAGAGATTTAATGGATTCTCACCACTCTCGATATAAAAGTTGTGGAATCTAATCTAAATTCTATAGTTGTGCTTGTTCTATTTACTACTACAGAGAAATGCTTGTTGTTGACAGACAATAAAGCCAGTATTGAAATGTAACTGTATTGAAAATTTATGTGATTTTTGACTTCTAAAATAAGGCGAATTTAACAGTATTTATTTTTATGCGTATTAGATACTTTATTATCGCCAATTTTGAACCGGAAATATGGAACTCCTGTGATTTAAAAAAAAAAGTATTTATTATCTATGATCCTATGCAAAATTTTATGCCTTTATGCTTAATAGTTTAGGGGAGTCCCATGCTACATTTTTTTTTAAATGGATGAAAATAGAATACTTTCTCTGCTATCGGTATACGTTGACAGGGCACCAGTGAAGGATGATAGATGAGGATGAAGCAGGTCAGGTCAGTTAGCCTATCGTGATGATTTCATCAAAAATTAACCATGCCAGTTTCAGACAGACAGGGAGAAATGCGTGGAGGTCGACCTTTTATTGTTAATGGTTCTGTCAGATCTCATTACTAGCAATCCCTTCCCCCCTGCCATGCTACACAGTTTGTGGCGGAGGACCTTTTAAACCCTCGCCCTTGTATATCTGAATACGTTAGATAAATCGTCATATATGGGTTCAGCAGTTACAGGATATATTTTGTCAGTAACTATTAAGCTTTCATACATTTTTCCCTTATTTAAAATATTCCTAGGAGCATAGCATGAACATTTCCCGTCGTTAGCTGTCAGTGAACCGATTACACGTACGTAGGTGTAACGAATGCGCACGCGCACCTATAACATCGATTAAGATTTTAATCTGTACACAGCACAATAAAATTATAACGCATTGCGCACGAAATGTAGATATGCACGCCTCGACTAGCTCTTGAAATTTATTTCTTTTTTATATCCTACTTCAATATAAATTAATGACAATGTTAATAAACGTATAATTATACCGACCATATGACATAATGCTGGCATGAAGTCGAGCTGACATCCAATAGTAGTATGACAGTAAAATTTCAATTATCCGAACATCGATTAACCGAATATTCGATTATCCGGACTTATTTTTCTCGGTTCTAATTACCGATTTAGAAATGGTATTATGTATTAATTGGGTAAAATTGGTATTATGTAATCTATTATCTTTATAATTTGTAATTTTTTTTTATATCGTATTGTCTAAATGACCTATGTAAAACCTTTTACATAAAAATAAAAATATTAAAATTTAATTAATTAATAAAATTTTAATATTTAATTTTAATTATTTACGATTATCCGGATTTAAGATTATATGAAATATTCCTGGTTTATTTGATTCGAATAATCGAGATTCAACTGTACAACTCGATTAATAAGTAGGATATTTCAATTCTTTACTAAACATGTAGGAAGGGATTGTTAGTAAAGCAGACTACCAGTCTCATTGCTAACAATATACCCTGTCAGGTCGACCTCCACGTGGGGACCACGTGACGAGACCTGACTGGAAACCATCGTGCTGAATCCCAGGTGTATTCATCACGATGGGCTAACTGACCTGCCTTTTCATTCTCACCTGTCATCTCTCACTGGTGCCCCGCCAGTGTATACCGTAAGCGCGGGCGGGATTGCCATTTCATTATTATCCAATAAAAATATTTATATATAAGTATTTAACTAACTATTGAGGACAGAAGGGGAAAAATGTTGGGACACTTGACGACACAAGGAACTTATGAACATTATAATAGAAGGTAAGATAGAAGGAAGGAGGAGAAGAGGGAGACCAAGGCATAGTAACATCAGGCAGATCAAGGAACGTTGGAGTTGGTGTCTTTTTTTTTTTAATGGATGATAATGAAATGGTAACTCCACCCGTGCTATCAGTATACACCGGCGGGGCACCAGTGAAGGATGATAGGTGAGGATGAAGCAGGTCAGTTAGCCCATCGTGACGAATTCAACAAGAATTGTTCACGATGGTTTCCAGAGGGAACCACGTGGAGGTCGACCTAATAAGGCATATAGCTAGCAATGGGACTGTCAAACTCCATTGCTAACAATCCCTTTCCCCCCTGGAGTTGGTGTCGTGTCGTATCAAGAGGTGAAGAGACTCGCTGAAAATCGTAGTGAGTGGCAAGAGCTCCACCGACAACAGCGCAGCTCTTAAATAGGATTGATAGATAGATAAGTACCTATACATTCACGTAATATACCTACACATAAACAATACAGTTGAATTAAGATACTACTCATTTTTAAGACGTATAAGTACTTACCCATATTATTTAGCTTCTACCCACTTCACAATAAAATAATTAAGATTTTGTTTACAAAACACTTGTTCAATGATGGCGGTATGAAATCATCACGATAGCTATTATCAAATGCAGAGAACCAGTCTCATTGCTAGCAATATATCCTGTCAGGTCGACCTCCACGTGGTCCCCCTGGAAACCATCGTGTTGAAACCCAGGTGTATTCATCACGATGGCCTAACTGATTTGCCTTTTCATCCTCACCTATCATCCCTCATTGGTGCCCCGCCAGCGTATACCGTTAGCGCAGACAAGGTTACCATTTCATTATCATACATAAAACAAAACTGCAATTAATCATGAAAATCAATTTAAAAACGTATCTATCTACCAATCAACCAATCGTGTAATTTACAGAACAAAATATCGTCGATTTTCACCTTAAAAATATTCGAAAGAGACATAATTAGGTAATTACTAAACAATCAAATATGAAACTAGTTGTACTAATTAATGTAAACTAATGTCTAAATTAATGTCATTTACCCTAAGCACTTACCTCACTTACCTTACTAATAGGTAAGCGAAATAAAATTCTAAATAGACGATGTATATACTTGGGAAATGTTTGAGTAAAATTGCTATGAGGGATTTTAAAAGACCAATAAAAGCCTTAGCAATATTTTTTTAAAATTTTCTTTGTCGTAGTTTGTTACAGCATCACGAAAAGACGACTACACCAAAATTGGATGCGGTTTTAACAATTGTGTTCCTGAATTGGTAGGTATATGTTTTATTTTAAAACGTCATCTAGAAATGGTAAGTCTATTTTGTTAGTGTTCCTACTTTTAAAATCCACGTGTATGAAGTAGGTGGGTAGCTAACGGGTGTAAAGTTAGTTATATCTAATAATTTGGTATTCTTTTACCTAGACACGTGATATTGCGTAAAAACAAATAATTTAATTTTATATTTGTAAGAACACGTTGATTTCCTACTAAGATTACCCACTATTCTTAATACATACATAGATACATATCTATAACGCTTATCTTTCTTTAATTTATGATTTTATTTAACAGTTTTAGTTTTTTTTTTTTATTTTGTCCTTTTGAACGAGCTAAGACCACGGGCCACGCTGCTTGCTTTGATTGTCAATATTCATTCAAATTTAAATAATAAACACTTGTAAAACTACTAAAGTCACTTACCTGTCGAAATTAAATTTAAAACTACAAGAGAAACCACAAGGAATCCTGTCAACATTTTTCCAACAGTACCAAATCGCACACACTAAACGTAGACATAAAATTCAAAATCGTTTGCATTGTGCACTCAATTGTGAAAAATCGAAGCCTATTATTCGTAAAACACGCACAACACAAAGTTAAAACTGGCACGTAACACGGAAAAACTGTTAAAATATTTTCTATATAAAAATATCAGTCGTTAAATTTAAGGCACTGAAGTTTTCGATATGTGAAATCGTAACATTTTGATGCGAACGACGCAATACGTCCTTTGAACTCGACGCGACAACGCGAACTCGCTGTCGCCGCTCTCCACTAGCGGCTTACTTGCCTTCTCACCGATTACTCAACTCGACTCGACTCGACTTCACGCAACACGTCATTCGAAATGTCGTTAGTTTGAACTTTTGATCATCAATGAAGTTTGACTCATATTGATATAAATTTAAGACTTCGCTCCTTAAGGAAGTAACGTCTTAAATCGTGACAAAATTCATATGGGATCAACACAAAAATAAACCCTATAGATTGCAAAAAACAATCATCAAAAATTTTCAAAACTGGGACCTTATTTAAAAAAACCCAGCGTATTAATTCATACTTTTACTGTTAGTCTTTAGTCCTCAGAAATGGCAACGCATGGAAGTTTTTTTTATGGATGATAATGAAATGGTAACCCCGCCCATGCTATTAGTTTACATCGGCGGGGCAACAGTGAAGGATGATAGCTGAGGATGAAGTCAGATCAGTTGGCCCACCGCGACGAATTTGACAATATTCAGTCACAATGATTTTCCAGGACGACCACGTGGAGGTCGACCTGGCAGGGTATATTACTAGCAGTGGGGATTAACGTCCCCATTACTAACAATTCTTCTCCCCCCAACGCATGGAGGGTATCATGAGCGAAACAATACTCTTAAGTCCATGGTACCGTCCATGTCTATAGGCGACGGTTACCACATTCCATCAGGTAGACCGTTAGTGTGTGTGCCATTCTAAATTGCATAAAAAAGGGAGGATGAAGGGGGTGTACACCTCAGAATCATATAGTCTCTTCACTAGGATCTTTAAACTATACGCAAAAGTATCTGAAAGTACATAATACATCTTTTTAAGGAGGTTTTTTTTTTTTTTTTTAGACCAGGTATACAACTTAGAATGGCTAAAAACAAGTTTATGACGGCCCACGAAAATTTGATGGAAAGTATGAACTCGCTCATGATCGATATAGTTTTTTTTTTTCTTACAACACAGGGGGCAAACGAGCATGCGGCTCACCTGGTGATAAGTGACTACCGCCGCCCATGATCACCCACAACACTAAAGGCATTGCAGGTGTGCAGATGCCGTCCTCAAAAAAGTTTATATTCACGGTCTCCCGAAAATTTGCCAAGTGCGATTCGAAGTATGTATGTATTTTGTACAATGTAGTTTGATCGCTTAATAAAGATACAAAAATATGTAAAGTACTAAGGCATTAGATATAGTATCATCAGCCTATCGACATCTATAAATATATCGTGAAAATATCACTGACAAGTTTACTAGGGTTATTTTTTTATAGAGTGACGATGGAATGGTAAATCAGCCTACGCTACCGGTATACACTAGTGAGAAAAGATGGCGGAGTCACATTTTTTTTAAGTAAAAATAAACAGAAAATCAATTAAAAACATCGATAACTATTGCGTTTTTATTTACACTTTTTTTTTGACATTTACATTTTTTGCCTTAATTTTTTTTCCTCTTATTTCTCAAATCTGTCTACTGTTGTTACAATTTTCTTATCCCATATGTTTATTTGAAAGTTTGTAATGTATTATTAAAAGAATATATCATATACTCCAGACGGTTTGGACTGAAAACTATCAACACAAATGTTATTATATCCGTCATCTTAGTTTCTATAATTAATAATTTCTTTCAAATAAAAAAGAATTTTCCAAATCTATTTATAAATGTCGAAGTTATGATGTAACAAACTTAAAAAAAAAGCAACTGGTTTTAGAACCTATATAAATAAAGTTCTTTTGCCTCAGTCATGAATTATCTATAAAAAAAATTAAACGTCAATTATCCGTCACTCAGTTTTGGTTAACGAAATGTCATGAATGAATGATTGATTGACAGCAAAGTTAGAAAGTTGACTGAATAGCTTATAAGTTGTTTATATATTTTTTTATTCTAATTGATTTTAAATTTATTTCCTAAATCAATGAAATATATTTTACTAATTATATTTATGAAAATTTTCGTGCGTGTTTTTAAAATGTTACTTATGTATTATCATTCTGTTTTAATAATAAAATAGTAGAAGTGTAATCAAACAAACAGTAACTTTTAAAACTTGATATAAAATGGAATCTATAGAAAACATCGTTAAAGTTTTTGTCGGGTGTTGTGCTAGTGCTTTTCTTATGGAAATTTTAATGGAAAGGATACCTGACAGTGCTAATTTAATAACATTCCTACAATTCTTTTTTATTTCCCTCCAGGGTTTTGTAGTTACTGCAAAATTTGGCTCGGTAATTTGTTTTTACATTCTCACCTTATGTTTATGCATGATTTTTAGTAGTATTTAGATATAAATCACGTAGAATTTCGATTATTTTATTTTAAATATTTTGTAATATTTAATAATTTATTCTTTATTAATTATCAAATGTATTTCAAATATGTTTGCCTGTCTGTAAATAAATAATAATTAAAATACTGTGGAACAAATACAAGAATTAAGATATATTTTATTATAAATTAGTATATCTAGATTTTTTCCTAATATTTTGTTATTTCTTTATAGATAAAACCAAAAATACCATTGAAGCAGTATGCATTTCTAATTACATTGTTTTTCATCACAAGTGTAGCTAATAATTATGTATATGCTTTGCATGTGCCTTCTACCCTCCATATGATTATAAGGTAATTATTTTATTTATTTTTTGGTGGATGAAAATGGAATGGTAACCCTGCCTGCGCTAATGGGATACGCTGGTGGAGCACCAGTGAAGGGTGATCGATGAGAATGAAAATAGGCCAGTTAGCCCATCATGATGAATTCATCAGGAATTAACAATAATAATTTCCAGGGGGAACCACGAGGAGGTTGCCTTGGTTGGGTATATTGCTAGCAATGGAATTTTAGTCTCCATTACTAACTATCCCTTTCCCCCTAATTATTTTATAAGATGAAGAAAAGAAAAATTTTAATTTATGTAAACTTAATGTATGCATTTTTGAATAAATACATATAAATGAAATTGGAGTGTCTTTTTGTAATATTGAAATAATCGTTTTTTAGATGTATATGAATATATATATGGTACGTACTCCAAAATAATTTTTTTTACAATTTTTGTCTGTCTGTTTGTTCCGGCTAATCTCTGAAATGGCTGGACCGATTTTGATGGGAATTTTATTGGCAGGTAGCTGATGTACTAAGGAGTAACTTAGTCTACATTTGTTTTAGAAAAATAAAGTAATGTTGCCTGCCATGTCTAAGTACTGTCCAGTAATGTGTGCAGCTCACATGCATGTCACAGCTATTGTCAGTAACAATATAAATTAATTTGGAATAAGTAAAAATAAATTAAAATTAAGTACGTATCATAAAAAAAACCTAAAAAATTAAATTAATTAAAATTCTTAATCCTTATATACCATCTTAAAATCGTTATTTACTTTCAAAATTCATGTGTACGAAATTGTAGGCAAAAGCAATATCACTATAAAGTTTCATTGCAAATAAGTGACATTATTATGAAGTGTTTATTTTTCTTCAGATCTGCTTCATCACCAGCCAGCATGTTAGTCTACTGTTATGTAAAAAAACAATATCCAAGGATGACAAATGCCATTGGATCAGTTCTAATAAGTATTGGTGTCGCCCTTGCGATGTATGGAGGAGCACCAACTGTGGAGAATAAAGGAAAGTTTATATATTGGTGCATTGGTGTTGCCATACTATTGTCTACATTAATTACGGGAGCATTTACTGGATTGCAACAAGAGTTGTTGTATGCAAAGTATGGGAAACATCCTGATGAGGTATAATTATTTTTATACTACTAGATTTTATCTATGATTTTTTTTAATATGTGAAAATGGAATGGTAACCCCTGCGCTATAGGTATACACTGGCAGGGTACCAGTAAGAGTTGATAGATAAGGGTGAAAGCAGGTCTAACTGACCTGTATGAAGAATTCTGTGAGACTCAACCACGATGGTTTCCAGAGTGAACCACATGGTGGTCGACCTGATAAGGGTACATTGCTAGCAATGGAACTGTTAAATCCCATTATTAACAATCCCTTCCCCCCTGTCCATGATTTTAGTTCTAAGTAGCTTCTTTCTCCATCCCATATGGTATATGTATACCAAATTTTATAGTAATTAGTTAAGCTGTTGAGGCACTATAAGGTAACAAACATTCTTTACATTTGTAATACCAGAATAATAAGAAATCTACATGGCAAATTCCTATTAATTGGGTCAAGTATTATGTCATTTCAGTTTAATAGTATTAATATAATAAATACAATGTAAAGTTCCATCAAATTGCAAATTATTTTAATAACTTATTAAAATTACAGGCTACAGAGGCTTAAATTACATCTTAGTCCTTAAGAATAGCAATATAAAATGGAGTACTCTCATGGTATTACAATGCATTCTATGATATCCATGTGCTGTTCATGCCTATAGGTGACAGTTTCTATCAGTGTATCAGTGTTAGTACAGTTTCTATCAGGTTAGGGCTATCAGCTTTTTTCTGAACATGGAATAATAAATTTTACACTAACAAATTCTAAATAGCAGTTTACTTGTAAATATCCATTGGTCTGTTTCATGTGTAAAAATAATAACTATGTAGTCACATCTTAAACTTTCAGATGCTGTTCTATACGCACGCAATTCCGCTACCGTTCTTCCTAGGGATATATCCTCAACTACAAGACACTGCAGTGAGTCTGACGTACGATACCTGGATACTGATAGTCTTGAACATCATCTCTCAGTTTTACTGTACACATTCCGTCCACACTTTAGCCACTAAAGAAACAGCGGTGACTGTTACTTTTATATTGACATTAAGGAAATTTATATCATTATTAATATCCAGTATAGTTTTTAAGAATAACATAACTTATTTACATGTGATAGGATCTATATTTGTGGTTGTCGGCACTTGTGTTTATTTCGATTTCTTCAGAAGAAAAAGGCAAAGACCTGTGAGCTTGAAGGACAAATGATTTTTTGTTTGTTTTTTAATTATTTTTATGTAATATTTTTCTTTTTATTCAATGGTGTCAGATTCTGAGGTACCATTTCGTAAACTAGTCGCTAAAATTTTTATTTGATAGTTCAGTAAGTACCATTAATAATTCTAACTCAAGCAGTTCTGACGCAATTCCAAGAAAAAATAAGTTTAAAAATAGCTATCTAAAGGCAGTATAATCGTGTCATTGTAATATTTTGGATTTTTAACTTTAGAGATATTGAATGGTGCTAAATATCAATTGAGTTTACAATCTGTTTGATAATAACAGATTAAGACTTGCAACAAGGTTTATTTTACTCTAAATCAGACTCGCCAGTCTTTACTTATGCTTCCCCATGAGATAAGATCTGAGTTATATTATTCAGCAGTTTCGCTGCAGTATCTTACCCTTTAAATCCAAACACAGCGTACAAGTAACTCACATGCTGACTGTATTAATAGGCGAAGCAGGTAACCGTGCCTACGCGATTGTAGTTTCTATTTAATAAATTTAAATATTTTTATTTACTCTTTATTGCACAATTTGATTAATAATAATAGAAAGTGGTACAATAGGCCGTTTTTTCGCTGCGATCTCTTCCACATAACCTATGGGTAGAAGGGAAAAGAAAAAAAGACCGTAATATGTTATTCTAATAAGTGATACTGTTCGAATAAAAATTACTCCACTAATGGATATGATACATTTTAAATATATTTTTATAGTAATATTTACAAACATTTTAATGTTCAATAATCATTTTGTCTGAGATCTTACTCTTTTGATGTTCACTTGTTTTAGAGGAGAAAGAATCTGTTTTGATAATTACTCAGTATTATTGTTATATGTTTTGGACAAGATATTGTATTTTGATAAACACTCAATATTATCATTATGTATTTTGAACAAGATCTTATTTTGATAGATACATGCGAATATTTTCATTGTATTTCGTATATTTATTAATAAACTTATAAAAATCGACATGTGCAATTGTTATTTTATATATTCTATCATTCTATTTATTTTCTGTTATTTATTGAAATAGGCTTGGGACACAATTTGGCATTTCAGACTTGTACCATGCATTATGGCGGGCACACGTAGTGTAGGACGATCCTCTACTAAATGGAGTGACAACCTGAAATGCCATGCAGGGAATCGGTGGATGCAGGTGGCTCAGGACTGTTCTTTACGGCAGTCTATAGGGGATACCTATGTTCAGCAGAGAATAATGACGAGACAGCTAAAATGATGAGACGTGCGATTGTCTATCTACAATCATGAAACAAAATTGGAAAAAGACATTTTGATACTGAGCACTGACCCCATTTCCATTGAAAGAATCATCAAAATTAGTACAGCATTGAGCAGTTTTTTTTTATAAAAAAACTGTAAATTATTAAATTGCTAACATCCTCTTTTATAGTATATTATATTGAACACGAGAGAAATTCTATAAAAATGAAACCAATATTAATAATTGCTTATTTTATAATTAAGTCTTTATTATATTTTAGAGTGTACATCATACATTAGATCGTGAATTACAACTGACAATGGAAACTTAAGTAATAAACTTTATACAAAGCAAAATTGAAAAAAAAAAAAAAATGAAAAAAAATCTACTATAGATATTTTTTGTCCGAGAGGCATATTTTTTAATCTAAAATTACTTAAACTCGCATACATACGCAATTCACTTTCACTGTCCATTCATTATAATACAATTCTTATAGTACATATTTCTTCCTTTACTGGTTCAATTATTTAGAATCTGAAATATAAAAATGCAAAATTTAAGAAATACAATAAACAAACCCTAATACAGTAAACACTCTATATAAGCAACTCATTTGAACCACTTTCAATAGTTTTTTTTTTGTTTATATAACTTAGAATGGCAAATAAGCTGACAGCCCACCTGATGGAAAGTGTTAACCGTCGCCTATAGACATGAGCAGTACCTTGGATATAACAGAGTATACTGTTTCGCCCATGACATCCCCCATTTGTTGCCATTCCTGAGGACTCGCATGTTATTCCTCTGTACCCTGTAAATTCATGCCATATTCCACCCTTCAAACCGAAACACAACCATGCAAACACAACTGCTTTACGGTTGAAATACGAATGGGACAGAGGTGACCAAGCAAACAAGCAAACGACTTTTATACAAAGTCTCCCTCTTATTGGGAAAAGTTGCTTATAGGGAAAAAAGGAGTATAAAAATACTTACTGGAAAATATGTTTACTTATTTCTTTTACTAATTAGGCTGAGTAGAATTAAGAAAATATAAAGAATGTTGCTTATATAGAGCGTTCACTGTAATATGATTATAATTAAGAAAGTTTATGACGGTGGACGGCTGTTCGTTAGTCTTTCACGCAAAAACTACTAACAGATATGAATGAAATTTTAGGTACAGATATCGTAGATCAAAATTGTAGACATCGTAAATTAAAACAGGACATTTAATGATTCACGGAAGCGAAATTGCGGAACATAGCTTATACATAGTTTATACCCTTATAAATATGAAAGAATGTTATAGCGCCTTAACAGTTTAACCAATCACTTGGTTAAGTTGAATAAACACACTATATGACATGAAAAAGGACATAAGCTACATTTTATCTCGATTAATAAACAATTCTCGAACACGCGGACAAAGTCGCGGGGAAAAGCTATTATACTATACATGAAAAATATAATCCAGCCATAGTAGTAATTTGCGTGAAGGTCGATCTGAGATTAATAACAAAGAGGCCTGTTAATCGCTATTTACTAACGATCTCTAGCCAGCATATTTAGGCCCTAATGCAATGAACGAATTATTTTGAATGACACTATCATGTCCATGGTACGGTTTATGTAGTATGCCGTCAGCTTATTTGCCGTTCTAAGTTGCATAAATAAAAAAATAATAATAAAAAAAAAAAAAATCACCTTCTTACCTGCTCTTGCTATCGGACCGGCTGCGTCGGTCGCGAGAGCGCGAGCGGCGTACTGATGGCGAGCGGCGGCGAACGGACGGCGAGCGGCGCGGGGAGATCGAGCGGCCGCGCGAGTACGAGCGCCGACGTGGGCTGCGGCTGCGGGATCTATCAAAATCATATGTTAGGTGCGCTCCAAGTTATACCAGCTCGTAATACATCCATATTCTATACATTATTAGTTTATCAGTACTTCAAAATGTATCGTATATCAATAACAGACATTTACGGCGGACTTTATTTGAGTATTAATTTTGAATACCGCACACAATTTGACAATGTCAGCAATTTGCATAATCATTATCTCTGTTCTACTGACAAGCGACCGGAAATTAATCTTTATGGGGAAGTTATTAGTGGACTATTAAATTTTAATTTACAATCTACATTACTTATCTCAAGAGACCTAATAATTAATACACCTATTTCTCCAACACAAGAATCCATTAATGCTAAGTAGGTAAGGTAAGGTAGTGCTAAGTATAGGATGCAAAAAGTACCGAGACTTGGTGAGCCTGCGAAGAAGGTCGTTGATCGTTGTGGGGCTGCTGTGAGGCCGAAGGAATTTTAACTTGTATTGAGGCGAAGATGAGTTTCAATGTAATCCCCCGTCGAACGGTGGCATATACCGGGAGTTTCGAGAGAGATTGAGGTAACGCTAGGAGAGTAGAGCGCCGTTAGGTTGTATTCTAGCTCGGTGCCTCGGTGACGACGAGTGTGTGCAGTCGGTGAAGCATCAGGAGTTTGCATGACATTCAGGACGGTTACAGGATACTACTGTGTGGCTCTCAAATACGTAACTCGTGTCCAGGTACGGATTAGGGTAGGACTAGGTAATGGCTGTCGGGAGTATCAGTAGGACGCAGTTGTTGGAGACTTCGGTTGCGCGTAGCAGTTTGGAGAGCTGATCGCAGAAGTTGAGCGGGATGTTGTTGCGAGCGGCGTTCGCGGATGTCTTATTGGTAAACGAGCCGTAGTTGTGGTGAAGAGATGTGGTGAGGTCGGTGTGTTGGTGGTTGGTTGATAAAATGGACCTGTAAACGTTCCAACACCCACCACGTTTATTATCTCAAGTTACATTTCTACTATAATAATACTTTAGCAGATAATATACAATTCCTGTGAATAAGACAATGCAATCAAGCATTCATCTTAGTAAGAAATAAATCATATGTAATAAATCACAATTTTTGCATATTATTTTTGACATTCAATACTAAAGAAACTTTCAAATTTGCGCACGTATTGCGTCATTTCTATATAGTGGGAAAGATTTTTAGTGCAGGTTTGTATTATAATGGGATATATTTTTCAAATCATCCTTCTTGAGGTAGATTAGGCATGTTACAAGACAAAGTAATTCATTTTTTTGTGAATGTAGCATAACCTACATAAAGATTTTACTCAAGAAATAATATGCAAACATAATAGCAATAAATTCATTGGCAACAATAGAAAAAGTAATATTTTAACGTACCTGGAGTACCGACGCTCTCTTCTGGTGCGACCGTTTGACATTTCAACGCGAATACGCGTTCCACAGCAACGTCTGAATTGACAAAGAAATAATACTCATATAGGTATGTTTTTGTATGATTCCCATTGCAAAAAAGGAATGGTAAATTGATATAAAGTATGCTTTACACATATCAGAATTTTATTCCACTAATCATGATTAGTCTTATAATTATTTATCACAGTAATATAAAAAACAATATTAAGTATCGTATTTTTGTTGGCTATACAAACAATATAAACAATTGACACAAAGAAGCCGCCAATGTTTAATACATATGAAAAATTTATTAATTTATTTAATATAAATATTAATAATATAATTTCATTTAGAGAATGCCTTTATGAAATCTCAACAAAATTTTGTTATCAGACATAATAAAATCAAGTTCTATTAAAATGGACTATATATAGATATAATGATTTTAATAAATGTTCCCCATTTCAAGACTAGTGCCATCAATATTGAATGTCACATCTCAGTCTCAAAATGGAGGTACTGTAATCTAGCACACTTATGACTCAAGCGTTTCACATTGAAAATGAAACGGATCTAAGGAGCGTGCTGTGGTTTAAAAGACGATTAATAATTTTATTAGTTTGAAACAATAAGAGACTTTATTAAGCTGCATTTTTTACTGCTCGTAATACAAAGATGGAACACTTCCATTTCTGTCTTACAAGCAGCTATATATTCCAGCCTGTGAAAGGGAACTTGCTGCCGAGGTTTTCCTAAAAACTATAGTATGGGGTTCTTCAAAAAGAGCAAATAAAGATTTCTTTACGGTCAGCAACACACACAAATGATGTCTCTTGCGGTATTACAGGCTTTCACAGGCTACTATGACGGTTTTATAATCAGAAGTGCCTGTATGCTTATTTGCCACCTTTATGCTATAAAAAAATATACTCTACTCAAACTGTATCAACATTTACAAATCATCAAAACATGTTTTATAGTAGATTAATCCATATAATTATCACTTGATTGTGATGTAATAAAAGGATTACCTTATGAAATATATACACAATCATATATAAATATAACTAGGATGCATTTTTAAAGTTTTATAATCAATATCTTTACAATCTGTGCCTTTAAGATTGCCAACTTTATCGTATGTCCAAGTTAAATTATGATTTATTGCAAATATGTAAGTAATGATAACAATGCTGTAAATATAATAGAAAACTTATGTAGAAGCTGTATGGAAAACTTAGCAACTTAGTAACCTTGTGGTTAACAAACAGTATAAACATCTTGTCTTTTAATTATAAATTTATATAAGAGATAAAAATAAAAGAGAAGAATTTGACACTCAGTAATTGTATTCTGCAAATAGAGACTTAGGAGTGGTTTACATTTGGTATTGTGTAAACAACTAAATAAGCAATCTAGATGGGCTCTGCGTGAAGACGATGATGTACCTACATTTATGCTTGTTGAAGTTTAAGTGAATTTCTAAAAATTAAGTTTCCAGAAAGAACAGTGATATAGAGTATCTGTAACATATGTTACACCGCCATTATTTTAATAACAAAGTTGAAAGTAATAATAAGATTATCATATAATGTAAACAATTAACGGTGGTTAACAATGCATACCTCGTGGACAATATAGGTAATTATAGTCTGATTACATATATTAGGTCAATGTAAAACTAAAATGGCAGACAAATATGGCGACGGACGCCGCAAAATAATCAATAATTAATTTCTCGGTCAAATGCTATAATATTAAATTCAATACTTACGTTCCATCTAGACCACGCACAGAGTCCTCGGCATCACGTGGATCCTCAAATTCGACAAAAGCAAATCCTGGTGGATTACGTGCAACCCACACATTTCGTATGTTCCCATATTTGGAGAAAACTTTCTCAATTTCGTATTTTGATGCATTTGTGCCAAGATTTCCGACGTATACTTTGCAGGAGAGATCCCATTCACGGTACCGAGACATCTGGAAAATATGAGACGCAATTTAACTGACGCCATGTTGGCGTTAATAACGATGAAATTTTATTTTATTCACATAATATGAATGTAGTTTACTTACAATGAGCACTGATAATATTCAAAGTATTTGTTAAAAATCTAGTATAATTTTTAAAGAATCCTTATTGTAATACTATTAAAACGAGGATAAATTATTACACAAGCGAACGAGTGAGGAAACGTTTATGACATGAAAGATTTTTTTTTAATTTGATTGAAGTATAATGATAGACGAATGAATGAGTGAATGAAAACGAACCCACTACACTGAGACCCTACTATGAAATGTTTTCCGAAATTTCGAGCCGAATGAAACATATTTAATGTTAAAATTACATGATATTTTTAATATTTTTAAATAGTATGTTCATTTAAAAGTATAAAAAAAATTAAAATATCGATCTTTTCGACTTTTATGGTTGGCTTTATAACGAACGAAATGTTAAGCTCCATTTATTGGACCTATTTCAGTATGAACAAAGATACGAAATAAGTCCGAAAATTCGGAATTTTATTTCATGGCGCTGCCTAGTACCCCACAGTTCATTTACCTGTACCTAGTAATTTTGTTTATGGACACGATATAGACAAAGCATAAGTTGAAAGCTAAGAACAAGGAATTACATAGAAGGAATGATAAAATAAAAACTTTATAATAATATGGTTGCCTTCTTTTTTTTTTATGCAAATATAAATACTGAAAAAAGGACAACAGATACACCATCGGGTGCTATTCTTGTCAATACATAGCAGGCTAGTGTATGAAAATGTCATACGGCCTGCTTGCATAATCTGTGTCGAATATATAATCTACTAATGTAAAATTTGTTACTGATAAATAATTGACATATCAAAAATTGATATAAGTAGATACATTGACACAGACTTGCAACACCAGATGGAGTGGGCGACATTGTTGTAAATTGATTTAAAAAGGATATTATTTTTAAAAACAAAATAATTAAAACAAATGAATTAATACAAAAATAGAAGATTAAAGTTATATCCGATTTACGAAAAAAATAAAAGTATGAGGATATATAAATATTAAATAATATTGTTAACAACATATTATTATTAAATACTAAGCATCAATGATATCATGTATTCCTTTAAAAGAAAAGATTTCCTTTCCGCACTGTAATAATACCTATATAAAATTAAGAAAAATTCAATTAAAATCTCCATTTAATTTAAATTAATCAATTAACGCCACTTCCCTTTTCTATTTACGATCTGTTACTATAAGATGAGGTCTGTCATCATCATTTTATTCTAAGGGTTTTATAAGAAGGAACATTGATTGGTAACTCTGTCTGCGCTATCGATATATATATTGGCAGGGCCCCAGAGAAAAATTATTAGTCAACACGAAAGCAGTTAGCTTATTGTGACAAATTCAAGAACAAAGACCATAGCTTCCTTATCTGATTGTTAGCAATAAATTTGTTATAGTTACACTGGTGGGGTACCATGATGATTCTAGGTAAGGATGAAGTCAGGTCACTTGGAACCAGATCGAAGTCGGCCTGACATACTTTATATTTGTTACAATTACGTTACTAATCCTAACTATTGATAATCTCTTCTTCTCTAGAGTTTAAAATTAGGTCAGTTGATTTTGGTTGTTCATTACGAAATATGTCAACGTCGTCATTTTCTGCAATTTTCAAATGCAGTAGAAGAATTCTGAATGTTTCCTATTCATTATTTAAAGAGTGCTTTGCCTATGAACTAAAATGTTAATCATAAAATGTTTTATATATCATTAAAAATAATTAATTTAAATAATTTTTTTTTTTAATACTTTTTTGCTATATTAATTGTCAGTGACAGCTTAGTAACTACATGATTAACGTTTTAGTTTATTCGTAGACATAGCATTTTTTATTTGCAACGTTGTTACATATTGTTCAGTCGAATACTTGGTAGTCGGATTGATAAAGTTGCGCATCGCTAGCTTTGTTTGCTTCATTATTTTGTCTGTGATATTGGCTTTGTTCGTTTCATTCATTTCATACATTCGTGGCTGTCTAAAATCTATTCTTGTTCAGCATTTGTCAAAAAGTGAGGAAGTAGCTACAGCTGATTTATCGCTTGGAAATGAGGAATTATTATTTAATGTTTTACAATAAAAGCTGTAGATAATTCATTATGGATGTGGTGGGACTTTTGAGCAATATAAATGACAAATCCGATATGTTTGCTGTGACGACATGGACATCCGAGTGGTCTAACAATTTCCAAGAGAATCAGGTATTGATTATTAATACAACAACAAGTTTGTCTATTTTTGCGTTTTTTATCGTTATTGTAGAATTTAACAGCATTTTTATTCTTATTTATTTAATAATTTAGTAATAGAATTTTGTTCCTATTGTTAGATAACATTGTTACATTAATAGAAACCAATATCCTTGAATTAGATGTTCAACGCAGATTAGACCTTTTATAGGGCATAGATTTATTCAATGGATACCCGTAGGGAGATATTTTATTATAACACTGTTAGGATTTTAATTTATTATTTTATATCAACCTATATACAAATTTTGGATTTTTCATAAGGTTAATTACATATTTGTTTTTTCAAAAATTTATAAATTAGGAAATTTAATTTTTATGAATTTTTTATATGAATTATGTTCTGTTTTTATAATATTGTTGTACTATGGAACATCATGGAATTTTTTGTTAGTACTCAAATCATAAAATTCTATTTTGTTCCAGCATGTTCTAATTGGAATCGATACTCTGATCTCTAAATTCTAGTCTGGATGATTCTAGAAATTTAGTAAATTGCTGAATAATTTTGCAGATAAATATTCATGAATAATTGAGTTTTCATAAATTTTTGTTTAATAGAATATTTTTAATTAACTATTTGATTAATAATTAGGGCATAACAGACTGTAAAATAAGGTTTTATAGAATAAAAAAAAAAGATGTAATATAAAAAAAATCTTGCCAATTGGATTCTTTTTGAACATCTACTAATATTACAAAATGATTCTGTGACTATAGATAGATATCTGTTATTCATGCAAAAACTATTGAATAGATTTTCATGAAGTTAGATTTCATAAATAAGATAATCCTAATTCAGAACAAGGTACTTCATATATCAATTCACATGATCCACAATATGCAATTGTTGCTACCAGAGGGAGACTGTATGAAAGTTGTTGGCTTGGGCACCTCTGTCCCATTCATGTTTCTACCATGAAACAGTTGTGTTTGCATGGCTGTGTTTCGGTTTGAAGGTTGGGATATGGCAGTGACTTTACAGGGTACAGAGGAATAACACCTGAGCTCTCAGGAATGGCAACCTATGGGGGGTATTATGGGCGAAACAGTATACTCTGTTATGTCCATAGTACTACTCATGTCTATAGGCGACGGTTACCACTTTCCATCAGGTGGGCCATCAGCTTGTTTGCCATTCTAAGTTGCATAAAAAAAAGTTGTTGCCAGTATGAGATAATTTTTTTGTAGAAATAAGTGCTAAATTACTGTTTATTCATTGTGCAAGGATTCATCAAATATCTTCAATTCCACTAATAAGTTGCTAATCAGTTGCGGTGAGTGAACATTCTGTATACAATGGAATGTTAACTTTTTTACTAGTTTTTTTTTGTTCTTAGAAATTAAACTGCAGTATTATTAATACTAAAGTCAAGATAGGCGTATGTTAATATTTTCTTCTTCTAATACATATTTAATTATGTTAATTGTACCAGTATTTTTTCTTTTTTCTTAAATATTATTTTTGGTGTGGCTTCAGTACATGTGTGTCACTATGCCAGCTTCATAGGGAATATCTGAATGTTAGGTTTATCATGTCAATTCATCAGAGACACCTCTACTCACAGATCTATTAGTGTTTAAGAGTAAATATCTATTTATTTAAACTTTAATGTATAGTGAAATTCTATGTACATTTGGCGAACTTAACGTTAGAGTGTTTTTGACCAGGCAACCATTGGGCAAATAGAGAAATAAGGTGTTTGTTGTACTTTGCTAACTTGGGATCTATCCTATAATGACATTGTAACAAGGAAATAAATAAATAAAATAAGAATTACCTCTCCCTCTATAGCTTTTTTTGCAAGACAAAATTAGCCTATAATCTTCTCCAGGGTTACATCTGTCTCTATTCCAAAATTGATCATAATTAATTCAGCGATATAGGCATGATACATTTTCATACAAATAAACAAACCCACTTTTGCATTTATGTTCATAATATTAGTTAGGATAAAAGGTATTTAAAATGATAAGCTTTATTACAATAATTAATAGATTTTGGCATATAAAATTACAGATAAACATTGTCCTGTGTGGTCCCAGTGTAGAACCACCCCTTCCTTTCCCGTGGGGGTCGTAAAAGGCGACTAAGGGAGGGCCAGGTATCCCTCTTAGAACATCTCTAAAGCCTAACTGCTGTTGCCAATCCGCCTGCCGAGGGTGGCAACTACTGGCCAAACCCCTAGGGGAAGGCTTATGTTCAACAATGGATAGTTTAAAACTGATTTGATGACAATGATTATTACATTGACTAAACAATATTTATTAGGGTTTGAAATTATTTTTTCGGTTTGGTCGTAAAACTATAAGCCAAATCTTTTTTTAATATGGATAAAAACATATTACGCCGACCCCAAATAATAATTGGGATAAGGGTAGGAAGATAATGAACTGGCTTGGCTACAAGTCGGTTTTTTTTGTATAGAATCTTATATGTGTTTGATAATTTAATGAACGTTTTAAGTAGTGTCCGACCGAACTTTCGGTTTCGGTTTCGGCCAGAAATTTTACTTTCGACTTTAGTTTCGGTCGGCCAAAATTAGCCGAAATTTTCGACCGCGCCGAAACTGTGTGTGTGTGTGTCTAACTGAAAGTTGTTTTTTTTTAAGTTTACTTCCAAGAGTAAGTCATAATTTTAACATGTTTTTACATATAAATATGACATATTTGTTACTTACTTTAATTAGTGTTTATCATTGCCCTTTAACTATCTGTGTGTTTGTGTAAATAATTGTGTCAAAATACACTAGATTTCAGTATAGAAGAGGTATTTGGAATATGTTTCAGTAAGTTTCGGTCGCGGCCGAAACTGAGACCAAGGCCGAAAGTTCAGTTTCGGCTGTAAAACCTGTTTCGATCTGACACTAGTTTTAAGTAAGCAATACATCACTCACAATAATGCTGTTAGGCAATTTTACTTTATTATACGTCGGCCAAGGTTGCTGCCCTCCCTGTTGACAATGACAGTTTGATTAACTTGTACTGCACGCGGTACGCGGCACGTGGTACTCACGCACGCACGGTTTTTGTATGGAGCTCATACATACAGCACATGACATGTTATTGCCACGGCCATGGGCGTCACAGTGTAGTAGTAGTTCAGTGTTTTTCATGGTGCTGTTCTTGTTACTGTTTTCCATTAGATTATTTTAGTTTTCACTTACATAATAATAAAAAATTGTGTCCCATAAAAAACAAACGACTTTAATTTTAACAAAATCAGTTGTTTGATTTAAAAAATAAACTACAGAAACGATTTTGATAAAATTTCTAATGACCAATCTGTAAGTAGACTTTCAGATAAAAAAAAAACAAATCTGTTCAGAGTTGACGAAATTATGAGGTAATGAACATGAAAATAAAATATTACAGAATTTAGAAACCTCCTTGTTGAAGTCGGTTAAAAAAATCGGTACTTCGGTTAATAATATCAAATAGATCAACAAATAGAGGCCAGCGGGTCTACCATGAAATGAAATTCCGAAATTTCGGACTCAATTTCGTGTTTTTGTTTATACCAAAATCGAACCAATAAATTGAGTTTAACATTTCGTTCGTCATACATCCTATCATAAAAGTCCAAAGGAACAATATTTTAATATTTCCAAATGGCATGTATTATCTAATTTTAACATCAAATTTGTGTTTCGTTTGGCTCCGAAATTTCGGAAAACATTTCATGGTAGGCCTTCTGTTTGAATCGGAGCATTTGGCGTTCTATTATTTCTACCTACCCCAATGGAGACAGGTGTGACGGATATATATGTAATACAGATTTCAAACTACATATTAATTAAATCATCATCATCATCGATATCAAAATGAGTGATGACCTTTATTTGGCCATCAAGGGGCCTACCATGAAATGAAATTCCGAATTTTCGGGCTTAATTTCATGCTTTTGTTCGTACCTAAATCGACCCAGTAAATGGAGCTTAACGTTTCATTAGTCATAAATCCTATCCTTATAGTCCATAGGAAGGATATTTTAATATTTTTAATAATTTTAAACGGCATGTATTATGTAATTTTAATATCAAATTTCTATTTCGTTCGTCCCCGAAATTTCGGAAATTACTTCATGGTAGTCCCTTAATATCCTGAGGAACCATATATATAGATATCGGATCTGTATCCATATTACCCATGCCTACGGCTTAATCAATTACTATGGAATATGATACTCACGTACTATACAGGTTGGAGAAGGTTAATTAACCCGGTCACGCGGACGAAGCTGCGAGGGAGACTTTGTACAAGTCGTTTGTTTGGGCACCTCTGTCCCATTCGTGTTTCTGCCGTAAAGCAATTGTGTTTGCATGGTTGTGTTTAGGTTTGAACGGTGGTATATAGCAGTGAATTTACAGGGTATAGAGGAATAACACCTAAGTGGCAAAATATGGGAGGTATCGGGCGAAACAGTATACTCTGTTATATCCATGGTACTACTCATGTCTATAGGCGACGGTTACCACTTTCTATCAGGTGGGCCGTCATCTTGTTTACCATTCTAAGTTGCATAGAAAAAAATATAGAAAGAAGCCGCGGGTAAAGTCTAGTATTTGAAATAAGGAAGGACAGTGTGACGAATTTGATAATTTCACACATTATCACCAGCTTTGTCCTGTTTTATGACAGATAATGTAATAGTAGATACAAAGTTCAGAAAATGTTTTTGCGTGCAAATATTAATTGTGTTTATATTTTGCTTTGATATGTAACATCAATAAATTCTTATGTATCTACGTGACATACATTGTATAGAGTAAAAAAGTTAAATTTTAATCGCATTGCTCTAGATAGAGGGTTAAATGTCAAAAATCAGTTGAACTTATTTTCTCATATTGTAGGGAAGCCTGAAATTAAAGTAGATAGATAGAACCTTTATTACCAGTATTAAGAAAATAAAACACTAAAAAGAAAAAAAAATGCGCCTCCTCAGCTGTTGC